TTTGAATCTTTGCCATCTATTTTTTATAATTAATTATATTATCTTATCAGACACGTTCCCGGTGGGTGTTGGCCTCCGCCAGGGCTGCCCTTTGTCACCGGTCCTGTTCGTGATTTTCACGGACAGGATATCTAGGCGCAGCCTGGGGGCGGAGAACGTCAGTCTCGGGGGTCTCGGGATCGCCTCTCTGCTGTTTGCAGATGATGTGGTCCTGTTAGCCTCCTCGGATCGTGACCTCCAGCATTCACTGGGGCGGTTTGCAGCCGAGTGTGAAGCGGCGGGGATGAGAGTTAGCACCTCCAAATCTGAGGCCATGGTTCTCTGCCGGAAACCGGTGGATTGCTCCCTCCAGGTGGGGACGGAGTGCCTACCTCAAGCGAAGGAGTTCAAGTATCTCGGGGTCTTGTTCACGAGTGAGGGTAAGATGGAGCGGGAGATCGACAGACGGATCGGTGCGGCTGCAGCAGTAAAGCAGGCGCTGCACCGGACCGTCTTGGTGAAGAGGGAGCTGAGCCGGAAGGCAAAGCTCTCAATTTACCACTCGGTCTACGTTCCTACCCTCACCTATGGTCACGAACTCTGGGTCGTGACCGAAAGGACAAGGTCGCGGCTACAAGCGGCCGAAATGAGCTTCCTCCGTAGGGTGGCCGGGCTCAGCCTTAGAGATAGGGTAAGGAGCTCGGTCATCAGGAGGGAGCTTGGAGTAGAGCCGCTACTCCTTCGCGTCGAAAGGAGTCAGCTGAGGTGGTTCGGGCATCTAATTAGGATGCCTCCTGGACGCCTCCCACTGGAGGTTTTCCAGGCACGTCCAACTGGGAAGAGACCCCGGGGAAGACCCAGAACACGCTGGAGAGATTACATCTCCCAGCTGGCCTGGGAACGCCTCGGGATCCCCCAGAATGAGCTGGAACATGTTGCCGGTGAGAGGGAGGTCTGGGTCGGCCTGCTTGACCTGCTGCCACCGCGACCCGACCCCGGATAAGCGGTGGAAAATGGATGGATGGATGGATATTATCTTATACAGTATTACATTATGTTTATATACTGGTGTTGTTGATGGCATGAGGCCGTTATCGTTGTGTTCGTCAGGTTGTACTGTCTGAAGATCTACGGCCTTGCGTCTCTCTGGAGGCTCTTTAGAGGGAAGAAGTGGAACGTCCTGAGACAGAGGGTGGACTCCTGCTCCTACGACCTGGACCAGGTGACACACACACACACACACACACACACACCCTCCTCACAGACAGACAGGCGCTTACTGTGAGTGTGTGTTGTCTTCAGCTCTTCATTGGGACGCTGCTCTTCACCGTCCTGCTGTTCCTGCTGCCCACCACAGCGCTGTACTACCTGGTCTTCACTCTGGTAGGAGACGCTTCTTCTTCTGCAGCACGATCCACTTCAACCCGGTTCAGACCGCTGAACCACAGCCAGCATCTATCTCACCAAAGAAGAGCCTAAAGAATCATTTAAAATATATATTTTATTCATTGAGTGGGTTGTTCTGTATTATATTTTCTTAAAGTTTTGTTAAAATGAAGAAGTTCCTCTCAGGTTACTTCCTCTCGACACGATAACAAGCACCACATCCCATTAAACCTGTAAATTATTATAAATTCTGACCCCAGAGTCCGGTCACATGGTAGCACATGCAAGTTGGATGACAGTACATGGCGTATGAATAGCTTCTGGGTGGAGTTAACCGTTAAATAAATCATGAAACGTGTGATTCAATGTGTCCACTGAATGCAAACCAGGATCATTTCCAAATAAAATAGATGATTAGACATCCAGAACACGGTGTTACAGTTTTGACTAAACCTCTAGACCGGTTTAAGATGCGTCTCCAGCCCTGATTGTTTCCAGCAGGGTGTGTTTGTTTTTAACGCCTGTTTGTCCCCGTGTGGTGCAGCTGCGGTTGGTGGTGGTTCTGTTCCAGGGCGTGATCCACCTCAGCGTGGACTTCATCAACTCCTTCCCTCTGTTCGCTGTGGGCCTCCGCCTCACTCGGTCCCACCGACTGGCAGGTACTTCAGCTTCTATCAGCGATCCACTTCATTCCTGTCAAACTGATGAAATACAGAGTTACCAAGATGAAGATGTATGAAATATAAAACCCAACGCTAACACCACAGGTTCTCCCTGTAGACCAGAAAGTCATCTTAGATTTTAGACCAACTTTGCTACGTGAAGACAGTTGAATGTGTGAACGTCACTTCGTGTTGAAATAAAGGTGCTAGTTCTATGGATGGATAACACGGTTCAGTCTGGACTTACTCTCACTGAATCTAATCGCTGTTCTTTTCCAGAGGGCGTGAAGTTCAGGGTTCTGTGTGAAGAACCGGGGACGGCCCTGCACCTGCTGATGGAGGTGAGAACTCCTGTTTCTGGGTTAAAGATCTTAAATGTAGAAGTTGCAGAGATGGTTTTACATTCATCAGTGTTCTGTGAACATTATGTTTTTCTTAATGTTTCTTCTCTGTGATGTTTGAGCTTCTCTCTGAAGGAGGAACGTTCACATTAAATCTCACTTTAACACAACTAGTGTGATGTAGAAACTTCCATGTCACAAACACTGAGAACGGACTTTTTAACAAATATTTGCATATTCAGAGATTTCTCAACGAGAGAGAAGTCTCTTTTAATTTGGTAATTAATTTTGTGGAAAAAACACACGACTATAAGTCTTAAAAAATGTCTGGTTTTTATATAATGATGCTTTTATTCTGAAGGATCTGGTACAAAAGTCACATTGTTGTTTCTGCTGGCGGGATGCAAACAAAAGCAGATTTGTTTTCTTCCCCATTAGCTCCACAACGGACCGTAGTTGATCATGCATGTGAACCACAGATTGATTACACGGTTTAACCGTCACAGTGTGAAATGAAGTTTCACTGACGATCGTTATCGGACGATATTCAGTAAAACAGTACGATCAGGAGTTCAGCGCTAATGCTAATAGCTAACGTACGGAGGTTCCAATCAGTTACATTATGATGCGTTCATGGTCTATTCAGTAAAAACTGAGTATTCAGCGAAGGTAAATTATGATGTGTTCACATGTCATCTGTAAAATGTAGTTTTGGTGATAAACTTGAATAAATGCAGTAGTTTGAAGGAGATGTTTTCACATGAATATAAAATAGATATTAGAGATGAATTATGAGATGTTTAACTTCCTGACACAAGCTCTAAACACATTATTATACATCAGTAATAATAATAATGATGACTAGATAAAAACACAATCTTTTATTTCCTAATCATTTGTGCTTGATGCAACAACAGAAACGATGTGTTTTAGCCGATATGGATCATCGACGATCGTCAATCAGCAGCAAAAAAGAAAAGATCGGGGATCTTTAAAAATGATATTTGCTTCTCTTTTACCTGCTGACCCAACACCAGACTGAAGTCCATCACATGATCCATGTTTCTCTTTTTCAGTATTTGTTCTCTGGTGTTTCCTCCTCAGATTAACCCTCTGAAGTGCAGCACCGTGGTCCAGAACTACCGCACACCGACCTACAGCTGCTACCCCAAAGACTCGTGGGCCGCCCTCATCAAGAAACTGTTTGTAGGGGAGCTGATCTACCCCTGGAGGCACAAAACCACCAAGATGGACTGAGAGAGAGAGAGAGAGAGCGAGAGAGACAGAGAGGGAGAGAGAGACAGAGAGGGAGAGAGAGAGACAGACAGACAGACAGAGAACGAAGGGAAGGGAAGTGACTGAATAAATACTGAGGTGGAGGGAAACATGTTCATGTTCATGTTAGATGAGAAGAACAACTGAAGCTGACCGGTCAGCTCAATGAGTTCATGTTTTAAAACATCAAACATGGAATGAACCTAAAAACCAGCAAGTAGTCACGTCCTGCTGCTGTAAGAACTGTGATCATAAAATCAGTTTCACTACATGATGAAAATCCTTTATTTTCTACTTATTGTTGTTCAGGACTTGACAGGTGTTTTTCTGTTGTTGTTTAGGTCAGAAGTCAAATTAAATGTGAGATTAAACTCCAGTAATTCTCTTTTATTCACAAGGAAACCCCACCAAAGGACCAAAACTATCGTGTTATGTGTGTTTTTAATGTGGGACACAAAGATCCACGTTATCAGATGAGACTAAATATAAATACAGTAATGACCGTGCCTGTGGGGGGGGGGGGTAACATTCTGAGAAATAACTCGCAGATTTACAAGAAAACAACTTTAATCTCAGAGAATGTTTTGTTGTGAGTACTAAGTGCAAAATATATGAATTATATTTATTTATGTTCATAAAAGAACATGAAAGAAATGCGTTTATGTGTCTTTCAGGACCTTCGCTCGCTCGGAGGCCGTTCTTACCGTGACAAACGTTTATTAGCTCAAGTTTATTATCTTGATAATTTGTGAGATTTTTCTCTTTAATCTCAGAAAATATCAAAATATATTTCTAGTACATTTTCGACTTTAACCTCTCAAAATCAGTTTTTTCTCTGAATATTATCCACATTCCCCGACTCCGTAATTATTATTTTTTGTTAACCTACAATGGTCCTAATATGCCGTCGTATGAAGTCATTACACCACACAAAGTATGAAGTGTTGTCTGTCTGTCTGACCATCAAACATTCAGGAGCCTCTTCATGCTCTTCACTCTGCTGTGTGGAACTCATTGAGCGATCCTCGTCATCTTTATTGATGTTTGATGCTGAGCGTTGGTGGTGAACCACTCAGACCAGAGATGTGTCTCCGCTGTAAAGCTCCATGGAAACAGCATCATCACTGACACGTGACGATAGTTTCTCATTAATGAGGAAGTGCTCAGATATGTTACTGAAGTAAAAGTGGGAATAACACTGTGTATAAATACTCTGTGAAAGTAAAAGTCCTGCATTATAAATTAGAAGTAAAAGTATAAAAGTATTAGCATCCAAACATAACGCTCCCCAGAGGGTAAATGTTTTGGTTTTATTAACTCCGTCATTGAACATCGGAGCTTCTAGAAGGATTTTAGAAAGTTAGTTATATTAAAGGGAGACTAACTTTTACTGAACTGCTCTGTGAACAATTATAGGATCATTCTAAAACTTAAATTACAAATTGGACAATTATTGTTCAAAAATCAATTGTATTCATAGTTTTTATTTTAGAAAAGTGGTCAGGAAATCAGGTATTTGTGTATTTACTGCACTGATGATGTAGATAGTCTTTTAGATTTTATATTATTAAATTATTTGTAAGAGTCAAAGGATACAAACTGGACAAACTGATTTATTTTATTATTTCTTTATATAATATTTTGTGTTTCAGTATAAAATTTAAATGATTAGTGTTTTTTATTTAAAGTTCATTTGTTGCCATTTTTCTTCCAAACAAGGAGATGAACTGTGATGTCATTCTGTTCTGTTTAAAGCTTAAAGACTGACTCTGCTCGGGTCAGTTTGTCAGTATTTGTGTTTATAAATTGTTTTTATGTGCCAATTAATGTAATTTTAATTAGATATTGTCCTTTATGTCTAAATAACGATACACCTGAACCAGCTCTCTTTAAATGTGACACTCCAACGTTTGTCTAACTCAGCACAAACTCCACGATACTTAATGTTATTAACACTTTTTATAGTCTTTGTGCTAAGCTAGGCTAAGCTAGCCTAAACACGTCTCGGCCAATCAGAGATGAAAGTGATATTTGAATCAGATTTCCCAAAACTTCACCCATTTAAACTGTTAAATGTTTATTTTTCTTTCCGTTCATCTGTATTAGATCATCTCACTATTGATCCAAACTAAATGTTTCATCGTCCTTTAATAAAAATACTTTTATTTAATATACTGGTGTCTTCTTTTGTTCAGATGAGGCTTATCTGTTTATAAACTGATAATAAAATAATTGTAATAATAATCATGACCATCTTACATGATTTGATCTGATCTGTGATGTTAATCAGAGCCGCTTCAATATTAATCAATTCTAAACAGAATTCATGTGCTGAGATTTAACGGGATTAGTTTGACAGCAATGAACCATAAATGACATGTAATGTACGTAATTACTATTATTATTATTTTAATAAGCAGTTTTATGGAACACTTTGTTTTTAAGGGTTTAATGTACTTATTTTTCATAATATCCTGAAAAGAAATTAAGAGGGGAAACACTTGACTACCCTTTAATAATGTAAAATATAGTAATAAATATAACATATATGAAATAGAATCAAATGAGACAAATTACAATATACATATGAATAATATATACAACAAACAACAATAAAAACATATATGTAGGTATAAGGAGGTCGAATGAAGGCAAAGGGATGGAAGGGTAAATATAACTGTCAGCTCTTATATCAGTTTATGTATGAAACTGATCTGGTTTTATTTTATTGACTGTAAGAAGGTAAACAAAGTCCAAAATACACCAAAATCGTGTTTTTTATTTTTTCTGAAGGACCTCTAAATAAAAAAAGAGGGGAAAAAGACAATATTACTGGATTATAATAAGTGATGCTTTCATGTTTATATCACATCCTAAATGTGTATGAAACTGATATGTTAATTTAATCATGGTTTATTCACGTTATTTCCATTGTTCAGTGCGTATTCAGTGAGAAATTAATCATCTTTGTTCCTCTCACCATCTGCGTGTTGTTGACGGCAAGACTGTGATGGACGTTTCGCTCAGCCAATGTATTCCTCCCTACGTCAGTCGCCGCGGAAACAGTGTCCAATCATATGAGTAGGCGGGCGGGGCTTGGAGTGAGAGGGCGGGAACGAGAGAAAAAGAAAAAGAGAGAGAGAGAGAGAGAGAGAGAGAGGGAAGACAGAGAGAGAGAGAGAGAGAGACATAGAGACAGCGAGAGCGCGAGAGAGAGGCAGCGCACTGTGTCTCACAGCTCAATCTGTCAGCTTCAGTGTCGGTACGCGTGTTGTCCGGAGGAGTCACAGCTGTGATTATGATTCAATACGATGGAGAAAAATGGACAAATCACGGACTGAGATTCCCGAGTCCTCCTACGGAGATCTGGACTGGACCTAAGAGAGCTTCGGGCTTCTGAACCCGTATACAGGGTATCGGTGTGTTTTGCTGGATAAGAACGCAGTGAAGTTACGGGAATCTTTGTCATCCGGACTGAAGAAAGACAACAAGGGGGCCTGACGTCGGTTGAAGTTGAGCTACGGGCTGCGCTAGCTAAGTGAGCATTTAGCTAAGTTAGCATTTAGCTTGTTGTGAACAATCTTTTGTTTATCTAGTTGGAAGTAGTGTTATAAAGGACAACTTTATATGTGCAGCGTAACGCATAACCAGTGACGGTGTCTTTTAATAACCACTGTGTCTGATGACCGCTTTGACAACGTTAGCACCAGTGCTAATAGCTAAGCTAGTTAGCTAGCTAGCTAGCTCTCTTGCAGGGCTAGCTTGTTGTTCACCTCTGCTAACTTTAGCCAGAGAGCTGTCTCTTACATGGGAACAAAAAGACAGCTTCAGTAGTGTCTTTGCTTAATAAAAAACATATCTCAGTACAGATATCTGGTCGTAAAAATTGCGAAGTGGCTTATACTGATTCCAAATACTGGACAATAAGCATGTTTTTCTTCCCTACATAGAGTCTTCCTGTCCGGATACAGCTCCAGTTACACTCTGATTGTGCGTCTACTTTCAGATTATATGCTAATCTGTCACTAATATATTCAATTCTTATGGCTCAACAATGGAATTCAGTTTCAGATTGTGTTTAAATCTATTTATAAGCTGTCCGTCATCCTTTTTAGAGACAGCACCAGTTGTTTACATCAGTTAAAGTTCCCCTTACTGACCAAACTATTGTTTTTCTTGCCGTTACTTTTAGCAATTGGGATGTTTTGCCTTTCAGAACCACATTTTTGGCACCCAGCTTGTTTGACATCCCTGTGAGACTGGCTAATATTTAGTCTGAACATTGCACACGATCTGGAGGATTTTTAAAGCTGGTGGACACACACATTCAGCAAATTCATGGGCTAAAAAACAGCTGTGTTTTTTGGTTCAAGTGAGTAGAATACCACAGAAGGGGGTCACCCCTTACACTCCGATGGGAGAGACGATGGGCAGCCAGGGCAGCCCAGTGAAGAGCTACGACTACCTGCTCAAGTTCCTCCTGGTCGGAGACAGCGACGTGGGCAAAGGAGAGATCCTGGACAGCCTTCAGGATGGATCGGCCGAGTCTCCGTACGCGTACAGTAGTGGTGAGTCACTGTTTTGTCCTCCTGTGATGATCAGCTCCTTGTGTTATATCATGCTGGCTCGTGAGAAAAGTCTTGAACACACTAGCTGTGCTTTTTTGTGCTGCGTGGACAGTGGAGAACACACAATGACACAGAGCATTGACATGGTGGTGAGTCAGACATCACTGTATGTGCATTGTAGTCGAATTTCACATGTTAAACAATCATTTGCACTACTAATAACCAGACAATATAGTTTAGACCAACACATTAAACACAGAATAACATCCTCTCCAGTTTAAAGCGGCTTCTTCCCTTTTTGCATAACAGCTTCCAGCTGTAAAAACAATAAAGAAGCTTCTTCTGCTACTTGTACGTGTATTTCAGTTGACTGGAGGCTGCTTAGCCATAGCTAACCTATAAGGAATCTTCTGTAGGTTTGATTTGAACATTACTGAGGCTAATTTATGCAGGTTATAGTTTCTACGTCAGCTGTAGTTGCACTCGGGAACACAACGCGCTTGTTGTGAGGGGGCAAAGCTGGTGGAGCTGTGCCCAGTCAGATGATCCCTCGCTGGGTGCAGGAGCTCAGATCACCGCCTGCTGCTGCAGGAATCTGGTGGTCCGTGGCTGACACACACACACACACACACACACACACAGTCCCATCAAAGGGAAGCCCTGAAGAAGAGCAGATAGGGGAGGAACAAGTCTTAAAGGACCAGCCCAATGTTTGATTTGATTGAATCATACACAGTCTAACCTAAAGCTTTTACAAAGGTGTTTCAAAGTGTTTAGGATTATTTTTCATGGGATGGTAGTGACTTTTGTTTTATTTTTGTTAATAATATAAAGCCTTTATTTACACGGCTTGTTGATTATAAATACCACATTACCACTGTTGTTCTACTATTTCCCCCCCTTTTTTTTCTTTGAATAATTTACAGCTTTAGCTGCTTTTCTCCAAAGGAAAGGAATAAATAATAAATGTAAAAATATCACCAAAAAGAAGCCTTGTTTGTGGGAGTAAATTCATTTGGGTGGGTCCCCCAAATTCATTCTACATATGGAAAACACTTCAACATAAGCATCCTGTTGTTGGCTATGTAGTGTGAATCACTCTGCAATGAAAGCTGCACTACAAGGCCAGCGATAAGAGCAACCATGATGTTCACTGTGATGGATTACCTCGACTCAGGAAACAGTCAAATATCTGCAAATTGATTTTAATAGTGTACTGGTATGAGATGGACTATAATGGCTGCTCAGAAGGCAGGAGACACTAAAGTATGCTTTGGAAAATGGCAGTGATTTAGATGATATATACATTTAGTTAATTTGCTTAAACATGAAACACTCTGGCACAGCGTCGGAAATACACGAGGGCAAAGGGCAAAACTGCCCCTAAGAAATATAATTTTGCCCCCGATATCACTAGGAGAGGGGCAAACAATGCCCCCATAATTTCCTCTAATGATAATTTAATGAAATTGTCAAAAACACCGTAGCCTATATGACCCGGTCCAGTTGCCATAGAATGGTTTTGATTTTCGCCTTGACTGATGTTGCGTGTGCGTGAAGAACCGAAAGGAGCACTTCTTAATCAGACCTGTGATTGAGAGACTGTGGTCAACACAGCAGACACTTAAATGTTAGTGCACCTATATGCTGAAATTCATGGTAAACGGCACAGATTGGGAGTTAGCGGAAAAGATTAACATGAGACAACATCCGGTTTCTTCAGACGAACATCCGGTTTTCAGAATAAGATGCCAACAAAGTATACATATTGCATAATGGAAATTAGATTAAATGAATTATATTCACATTAAGTATAAAACATGCTATCTGCATCTCGTGAGTTAAAGGGAAAATACACCTAAATTGTGCGTAAAGTGTCTTTATTCTTTGATTTGAGGGTTGCTGGAAATGAATAATACGTGACTGACAGTCAATTAAGATATTTTACCAAGTAAAAACTCTGAACTGAATTTGTATCTTCAAATGGCACATTTTTTTAAATTTTTAAGGTGCTATAAAAATGTTTTTCTCAAAAATTCCACACAATGACTAATGCATAAGTTCAGGACAAAAATGGGTAATATCACAATATTTGAGGTGCTACAAAAATATCTTTCTCAATAATTCCATTCAATGACTGATGTATATGTAATCAAGGCATCGTTGACTTAATAATTGTTAAGAGTTGTTTAAAACATTTAATAATAACAATAAATAACCACAAAGAAATAAGAATAAATTGAATATGGTTGTCTGATTTACGTTTGTTTTTTGTTAAATAAATCTAAGAAAACACGTTGAATCTGTAGACTACTGCCTAATAGTCTTATTATTGCCATTTGATGACAATTGCTCATATACTGTAAGCCTAAATAAGTATATGTATTATTTTGAACAAAGGTTAAATGTTATTTCACAAGTTTCAAAAATTGCCCCCAAAAAAATATGTAAATTTCCTACCCTGCTCTGGCATGGTTCTTAAAGAGGTGGTGAGTAAATCCTGTATCACTGAATCACTGATGGTGCTAAATAGGACAGTAATGATATGCACAGTTGCAAATAAAGGAAGAGAGTAGACCATCACATCTGCACTTCACATGACTCATAATAGAATAAAAGCTGCTCGCTTTCTTGTGTCTTAAAGGTAAAACATGTGAAGTGCATTCGTTAAGATATTTGTCCTTCCCAGAGGTCCCAGAGGTCAGTCGTGTTTTTCAGAAGAAGGTTTTCATTTGTTCCCCTCAGGGTGACACCAACTGTTCATGAAATATACACGAGTCAGCAGAATGAGCCCTATCTAATGAATGAACGGGTGAAGCTTCCTGTTGCCGTTTGGCAGCAGGTTGAAGAGCTTCCTGGAGTGGTCATGTGTTTTTCTGTCATTATTATAAATAAGTAATGATCAAAAGAGGGTGGATGAAGTTTTGCTCTTTTCTGGTAGACTGTTGCTGGTTTTAATTGCAGAGGTTGGAGCGTCTTCATCTTCTGTAATGTGACGTCTTCCTCAGGAAACATTTATTTGTACGGTTTTGATTGGATGGGAGTCGTGATATTGTTTGGTAAAGCTAACGTAAGCAGGAAGAAAAGATAACTATTTAGATTTTAAAATGTGTCAAAAGGTTAAATAGGTGCACAATATATCGGGGGTTGTGATCTAAAAGGGTTAAATGTGAATTTAGATGTGAAAAGATTTGATGAGTCGATCAGCAAGTATTTTGATAATTAAACGGTTTAAACCATTTTTCATGACATACTCCGGTAGCAACTTGTCAAATATGAGGATTAATTTCTTTAAAGACATTATTAATATTAACTAAACATCGCTTTGGGTTTTTGACTGTTCGTATAGAGGAAGGTATATAAAGACGGTGCATTGACTGTGATGAACTATTTATACCGTTTATTGATATTTAGACACAAACCGTCAATAATGAAAGGAAGCAGTTGTCAATGAGCTGAAACAAATCGTTGAAACATCCTTTTTGATAATCGATTGTTTTAAAAACATCTCGAGCACCACAGACATCTATTTGCTGGTTTCGGCTCCTCAGATGTGAGAATGTTCAGCTTTCTATCTGTTGTGATAATAAACTGAATATCTGTCAGTTCTGGAGTGTGAGTCAGACTAAACGGACGATTCACCTCAGGGTTCAGGACATTCTGATGGACATTTTTCACTATTTTCTGACATTTTCTGAACCAAATTAAGAATGGATTAATCAGAAATAGATTTATAACGTGTCTGCATCAGTGTGGTTCGTTCCTCTAAAGACAAAGTGTGAGCCCGGCTAGCTTCTGAAGACTCGGAGAGGAAGATGTCCTAATTGATGCTCGTGAGATCAGAAGGCTTCATTAAATATGGAGTGCCGAGCAGATCGCTCCTCAGATGAGATGTTTGTGCAGACTGAAGCTCCTCTGTTGATCCCATCCCTCTAGAGAGAGGTTGGCATGGAGGGAACGCTGGTTAATATTTTAGGAGGAGAGAATCAGGACAGAGGAGCAGATTGTGATTGGTTGGCTTTGTCCTCAGGCTACGATTGGCTGGCTGATGGATTGTGGGCGGTAACATTTCCTCCTCAGTGATTGTGTGTATTATTGATCAGTCATGTAGTTAATAATAATACTGCTTATCAGAACAGTGAGAAACACTTCATCCAGAGTTCATGTTGAAGACGATGTAGGGTTCTCTCTCTGTCTCTAGCTGGTCCTGTCTCTTTCACGTTGGGAGGATATTGAGGTGGTTTTATATTAAAAAAACTTCAGACATTCTTTAACAAACATTGTGTGGTTCCAGCTTGTGAACTATTCAGCTTTGCGGCTTCACTGCGTCTTATCATTTTGAATATCTTTTGAACCGTAGCTGAGACAAAAGCATCAATTTGATGGCAGAAAAATGTTTCTGCCAATTAATGAGTAAATTTTCAGAAAATGAATCTGCAGCTGTATTAGTGATCACATAATAGTTTCAGTAATTCTTCAAGCAAAATGCATTTGAAGAAACGTGGTCTGGTTCCAGGTTCTCAAATGTTAGAATGTGTTTCTTTGTCATATCTCTTCGTTAACTGACCGAATGTCTTTGAGTTTCAGGCTGTTGGTCCATAAAAATAAGATGTCATCTTTGGTACAAAATAATGAATCAGCAAATCTCCTTTAATCACAATGTGCCAGAGTTCAATGTCCTGAAGAAGAGCTAAAGTGGTCGAAAGATGCAGATCTCCTGATTACATATTCTTACTATCTTTTGTTACGCCAAGGAATTAAAGAACTGACAGATGAAGGTGCTTCACCACAAACCTCTGAGTGCAGATTCATTGCTAATGTTGCCCACAAAGGCCTAAAACATCTAGAGGTACTAAAGGGAGAGCTCTCTGTCATGACCGTATAATAACGTCTCATTATATTAATCAACCCTAACTGATGCTTTGGGAGAGGGGGGGGGGGGGGACGGATCTCTAGATACATTTTTCACACTGCGATGAGGCTTTAAATTCCACATCCTGTTATTTAGCCACGACAGGCTTGGACGAGTGCAGTCAATTAAAATGCAAAGAAGCAGTTTGAAAAGACGCCTCGGTGCAGCTGGGAGACTTTTTCATTCAGCGCACGCTAACAATGGGATATTCCCCAGAGGTGGTGCAGCCACTACGGCCCATTGTTTATACAGTTATCGCTGGATGCAGGCCAGCTCTGAGGTAGACAACAAAGTAAGCTGAGTCCCAGAATAGAAGCAGCAGTATTCAGCCAAGACGTCAGAGACATCAGAGGAGCTATTGATTATCTGGGATATCTAAGTGAGGCCGTGGGAGGAGAGGATGCACTTGGTACCAAGTCCCGCACTCTCTCCAATTCAATTAGGTTACGCCGAGCTCAGCACTTTAGCTCGGCAGCAGCTTTATGCTGCCTGGAAAATTGGAAGATATTGCTAATTTCGTTAGCCAGCAGCTGCTACCTGCCGGAGGCTGAAGTAGTCATGTGTGAGAGAGAGAGTCGGGGAACTGGGAAGGCTTTCTGGGATGTTGATGTCTGTTTTTATACCGAGAGTCTTGATGTTTAATGGTGAAGCTGAGGGTTTCCTGCTAAAAGTGGTTTGTATTCAAACATGCATGTGATGAGATGGTTTGTTGGTTAAGGACTGGTAGGTCAAAGCTAGAAGTAGAATGATGCTTAATCAGTATACAGCATGATGTTCATTTAGTACATGATGGTCCATTTAGAGTCAAACAGACCATAAAGCAGGGGATGCTTTAGGGCGGGGCTACACAGTGATTGACAGGTCTCTACCAGAGACGTATACGGCGTCTCTACGTCACTCCTCAGTCCACATATGGTCACTTCCTGTTTATCGGTTTAGGCCTCGGGTGGTACCGCGCTCCATAAGAACCACATGAAGCCGGGCTCAGGGGACATGTGGAGACACGGAGCAGCAGAGCGACAGGTGAAGCAGTCAGACGGGTTTGTCAGAAATGAGATCTGTTAGCGGCCCGAGGCTGAACGCTGCTGCCTCCGTCTTGTTGTTGTTTTCATATTACTTATGACTGACTTCTTACTTCTACTCGTGTTGCTCTGTGAGGCAGCTGGTTCATCTCCTGAGGATGGATTTACATTAAACGTGGTTCAAGCCTCCTGACTTTGGTTATTTTCTGACTGTTATTTAAAACCACCAAAGTAAACTAACAATCTTTTAACGTTGGGTCTGAATGAGCCTTTTCTTTTCTGGGAGCTGATCCCAGTTCCCTGCAGTGCATTGTGGGTAAAAATGTTTAAGTGTCATTTAGCTTGTCTGTGACGCGGTGTTGTAATTAAGATTGATGCTTCCATTTACCTAATGTCTGCCCCCCCCCCCCCCCCCCTCTCTGTCCAGGTATTGACTATAAAACCACCACCATCCTTCTGGACGGGAGGAGAGTGAAGCTGGAGCTCTGGTAAACACAAACACACACACACACACAGCTGTGGTTTTGTGGACAATAGACCGACAGACTGCTGCTGTTCTTCTGGAATAACTCGGTCCTGTTCTAAACCTTCCAGACCTTTAAGGACCTTTAAAGTGTCATCATCTTGTGATGTCGAACCACAAAGACTTTTGGTTTGATGCCTCTTGAATATCTCAGTTTGATGAAAGGGTGCAGCCATCTGAATATTTAACTCAGCGTAAACATCATAGAGCTTCAGAAGAGCTGGAACGACATGATACAGATTATGTATCTCCTACTGGGAGAAAGAAGGAGAATACTGTATGTCAATGGGGTCACAGTTACATAATGCACATTTAAAAAGAGGCGTAGGAAGGTTTATATAATGATTCAATACTTGTGTAAAAACAAAGCATATTTGCAGATACTTTTCTCTGATATTATATAATATCTACACCATTGAATATTGTCTGACAGTAAAACAAAACGAGCTGCAGGGAGCATGTGCTGTACTGCAGACATGGTTGGTGGTCCGCCTCCTCTGCATATTGTTCCAGGCCTCACAAACCTTCTTGCATCAGTGGAGATGCAGCAGATGTGTGTAGTTGTCAGCTCGGTCTCAATGATCCACTGTTTGGTGGAAGTAGGCCAAAGAATTCAGCTGCTCAGGGGAGAAGCAACGCCTCGTCCTCCCTGTGGACGGAAAAGTTTAAGAAGCAGAATCTTCTGCTTCTTTTTGCTGCCTCAGTCTTTCCTCTCCGGTCTCACTGTCGTCTTACTGTCCAAACGCCGTCTGCTTCATTTCTATTTCTGTCTCTGTAGTCGTCTGTCTCTCAAAGTCCTGCAGAAACTTAAAGGATACGTTTTCTTCTTGTCCACAAACTAGAGACGAATGCATCTCTTATGTCCATTAAAACACCATCAACACATGCGCACACACACACACTGTAGTTTATTTTGACTCAACCCCACACACACACACTGTAGTTTATTTTGACTCAACCCCACACACACACACACACACACACACTGTAGTTTATTTTGACTCAACCCCACACACACACACTAATCCATGTTAGCGTTGAGCCAATAGAAACACTGATATGATTGTGACTTGCAGCCATCAGTTCATCATTTTGAGGTTTAGCTTCTGAAAGTCAGCTTCAGACTGCTGAGTTTAAATGTCTGGAGTTATTCTCACTGAGACTACTGTTCAGCATTAAAGCGGTCAAGTTGAGTCCACATGGAGCTTGAAACCATCCTCTGTGTAAACGTATAGAAGTGTTAACATGGTTCAGAATCACTGTTAAACAGGTCTGAAGTATTTAGGTTGAAGAGGAAAATATAAAAGGTTCTGGTGGTATCGAAGAGTCTAAAGAGTAGTAATAATGTGCTTTTTATTTTATATGACTACGTACAATATCAATACATTACAAGCAACAAAAGAGAGTGCGTGTGTGTGTTTTCTGTAGTTTTCCTGGTTGGCAGCTGAAAACAGATGCGAGTTATTTATATTAATGTTTCTTTCTCTCTTCAGGGACACTTCAGGACAGGGCAGGTTCTGCACCATCTTCCGCTCGTATTCCCGCGGTGCTCAGGTGAGAACCGAACCACATCCATAGATTAAGTAGATCCCTACGCTGCATGAAGTAAACCTGCTTGACTTCATCTCAATAAAGTTTTATAAAAGTCTACAGGATCACAGACAGCATGATGCTGTTTTTGACTGCTTTGATACTCTAAGACCTGTTGTTGATGATGATGATGATGATGATGATGATGATGATGTGTGTCTCTGCAGGGAATCCTGCTGGTGTATGACATCACTAACCGGTGGTCGTTCGATGGCATCGACCGGTGGATCAGAGAGATTGATGAGGTGAGTCACAGTCGGGACGTTTAGCTGACTGTTGGTCGTCTGTTTGATCATTTCATGTCACACAGCGCTGCTGTGGTGTTCGCTTGTGTGAGTCGACCTGAATGAACGCAGGAGGAGACTAGTTCTATTTTCAAGAGTTAAAATACGAAGAGGAAACACAAAGCCAGCGTTGCCGCTTCAGGGGCCGAAGTTAAAGCTTGTGTGTGTGTGTGTGTGTGTGTGTGTGTGTGTGTGTGTGTGTGTGAGTGTGTGTGTGTGTGTGTATTTTTGGCCTGAGGAATGTGTGCGTCAGTTGGTCTTTCCTGCTCCACCTCCACAGATGTGTTGTGGTTGTCGGACACTTTTTTTAAGGACGGAACTGAAATAGAGATGAAGAGTTTAGTTTTCATCTGTTCTGTGTATTAATTATTATTAATGATTCTTCATCATCCTGAACTGACTGTTCTCAGTGTAGAGATGCAACTCATTTAAATACATTTTATTAATCTTTTGTTTCATATTTAGTCCTTTGTTTCTTATAATAGTTTGGTTTGTCCTAAATCCAAAAATATTCAGTTTTCAACAATTTAAAACAGAGAAAAGGATCAAATCGTCACACAATAGATGATTGAAACGATTGATCGATTATCATTAGTTATTTTTTGTTCATCGTGACCTTGTTCGTCCTCTGGTGTTTCAGAGAATAAAGCAACAAATGGCGTACAGACTATGAATTCATATTCGGAGGTCACGTGGAGGTTTTAATTAGAGTATAAACAAATCTTAATTCCTTAACATCTCTCACAGTGACAACAGACAGACTCCCCTCCTGTGTCAATCACTCGTCATACAAAGTCATTTTGATCTAGCAGATACCTTGTTGTCCCCATCAGAAGATATGGTGAAACATACTTAAAACATAATGAAATACATTAAACAAATCATAACAAATGTATAAAACAAAACCAAACAAGCTAAAATCTTCCACACAAACTATAAATCTGTGAAATCTTACAGTACATCCAACCAAACGTGAGACCAGGCCGTTTAAAACCACTGCTTTTTCCACCATGACCACCATCATCATCATCATCACCATCATCACCATCAGCAGAAGCTCTGAGCATGAAGAAGCAGCAGGGAGGAAACTGTGAAGAGGCTGATAAGAGGTGACAGTGAGGAGGAGGAGAGGAGGACGAGGTCGGCCATCTTGTTTCCTTCAGTTTGAGTTAGAGAGACCGGAGCAGCTTCCTCACTTCGTGTCCATTTAGTCTGAGGTGTTCAGGAACATTTCCTGTGTTGTGAATGAAAGCTGTTACGTTGCAGCGACGACCTGGTGAAGACGTTTAAACGTGGAGCGAGCGCCCCGATCAGAAGACTCCACTGATGACGAGACTGAATCAGGAACTCACAGTTCAGAATGTATGACGGTGCTTTCACCGGTGGTCGGATAACTAACAATACATAGATATGAGAAATGTCCGACAAATATGTTCATTTATTAGAAAAAAAGGTTTCAAAAAACTGTGAAAGATGTCTAAAAAGAAATGTGAAAAATATCCTAAATATCAGTAAAGTATGTGGAGAAAAACATTGGTGAAAAATATTTGAGAAACAATTTGTAAAATTTTAAATGAAAAATATGTGAGAAATATCTTCGTGAAAGTAAAGAGACGTGTCCTTCCGTGTCCGTCTTTGTCTTCTTCTAAGTCCGTTGCTCCGTCTCGTCCATCTGGTGAAGTGAAAATCACTCACGGTGTCTGGACGGGAACTGCGTGAAAGAAGCTACATGCTAACAGCTACCAACGAAGGTTAATTCTCCCGTGTTGATTTTCTTTTCTTTTTATTTCCCAGCATGCTCCTGGCGTTCCTCGGATCCTGGTCGGTAACCGTCTACATCTGGCCTTCAAACGTCAGGTTCCCACGGAGCAGGCGAGGGCGTACGCCGAGAAGAACGGCATGACCTTCTTCGAGGTGAGCCCGCTGTGCAACTTCAACGTCATCGAGTCCTTCACGGAGCTGTCGCGCATCGTCCTCATGAGGCACGGCATGGAGAAGTTCTGGAAGCCCAACAGAGGTGAGTCGGGTCAGAGAGACCAAAGAATCACAACATCAACAGTCACAAGAACTGAGGGAACTTCCTGTAGACTCACCACTCTGCTTCTCTTACGGTCTCTTTTACTCACAAACACTGTTTTTATTCAACACTTATTTTTATAACTACGCCTTAGTTACAGAGGAAAGTCCTTTATACTCAGATTTAACCATGAGTCTGGACTTCATGTCTTCAGGTCCTGTTGATCCTTAAACACCTCAGATTCAGACCTCACGTCCCCGTCTGTGGCTCTCAAAAACACCGGTTCAAAAACAAATATATTTGACAATTATTAGTAAAAATGTGGAAAACATGTTAAGAAATATCCAAACATTTAATAAAATTGTGAATAAAAATTCTAGAAATGGTCTTAAAAATGTAAAAAATATTCAAAAAATATCCTAAATGTCAGTAAAATATGTAAAAAAAAAAAAAGATGTCTCAAAAAATTGTTGAGAAATATTCAAACATTTCATAAAATTGTGAATAAAAATTGTAGAACATTTCTGAAAAATGTGAAAAATATACGTGAAAAATATACAAAATATATTTTAAAAATATCCTAACTATCAGTATACTATGTGAAAAGAAATTTGCGAAATGTCCAAATATTTTGTCAAATTGTGAGAAATGTCCAAAAGCTGTCAGTAAAATATGTGGTAAATATCCCAACAAGCCAGAGTTTTAAATATCTTCATGGTGATAATAAGAGAGGTCTTCGTAGGTGAACGGTGGGTTTATATCCCAGATATCGGAGATCCTAACGATCCTAACTGACCTCCTCTCTGCAGTGTTCAGCCTCCAGGACCTCTGCTGCAGAGCCATCGTGTCGTGCACGCCGGTCCACCTCATCGACAAGCTGCCGCTGCCCGTCGCCATTAAGTCCCACCTCAAGTCCTTCTCCATGGCCAACGGCATGAACGCCGTCATGATGCACGGACGCTCCTACTCGCTAGCCAACCCGGCCGGCGGCTCCAAGGGAAACAGCCTGAAGCGCTCCAAGTCCATCCGTCCGCCGCAGAGCCCGCCGCAGAACTGCACCCGCAACAACTGTAAGATCTCCTAATTCACAGGAGGTTCCTCCGCCAGAGCCGAGGGGAACAGGACGGAGTTAGCTGGAGGAGAACATCCCCCGAACCTGAAGAGCTGAAGAGCAGGAATGACGGATGGAGGGATGGACGAGTGCTACCTCTCACCTTCATGCTGAAGAGCATGAAGGTCTTTCTTCTCTCTGAGAGAACGAAAGACGGCTGGAGTTCAACTACATGTACAGAAATCACCGACTCAGCGTTTTAGTTCCTCTACGTGAAGCCTCATCCTTCACTTTCCTTCCTTCCCTCCCTCTGTCTGGTTTTATTCCCCCCCCTTCTTTATCTCTTTTGTTTTTAATGACCGATAAGCTATTGATGGAGACACGAGGGAGCAGTCCCTCAGTATTGATCGTCGCCATCTTTGTTCAAACACTCGTCGTGATCTTTGGGAGATTAAATGTTTTGGCTGAAGGGAAATCTTGGCGACAAGATGAGTGGTGGTTGTAGTTTTAGGTGTAGGTCTTGATCCTGGACCAGGTCTTGATCCTGGATCAGGTCTCAGGTCCAGACCTGCTGCTGTGCCTCAATGTTCTCGTAGACATGTCAAAAGAAGCCAGTTCACCTGCAGCAAACACACAAAAGCACCATAAATATGTTTCATTTCTATTCTTCTTCTGTGGTTTCCGACGAGGGATTCGGTGATGCTTGTTGCCATGGATACCACTATTTAAGGTCTCTCCGCCTTCTGGTGGAATTTTAACTTGACAGCTGAAGACAAACGGAGTTTAGTTTTTTCATACTTGTCAACAAAGCCCATTGAAAGCTGAAGATGTTTTCCTTTTTTGGCACAAGAGCTTCTGGGAGTTGTAGTCCGGAGAGAGTTTACCCAGAGTGCTCCTCTTCTCTCCTCTCTCTCCTCACCTGTTTCTTTTATTGTGACACGCTTCACCTCATCTGTGTGTTTATAATAATCACTTTATCATATTAACTCATATTTTACTGATTAATTGAGCTCGAGTTCAGTTTGTTCACAGATTTAAACAAACTACAAAACTACTTCCTGTTTCAGCTCCTCTAATGTGAGGATTTCTATCATTTTAAAGTGAGAATATTTCGGAGTGTTGTTTAGATGAAACGTGTTATTTGAAGACGTCTGCTCGGACACGTTCACTCTTTTCTGAATAAACATTTCATTGTAAAAATGAACGTCGCGTCTCAACAGAACTACCTTAAAGGACCAGACGGTTTATTGCACACCTGGACTGATGGAAGCGTTCATTCATCTTTTAAGCAGAAATACTAAACATTATGTTGGAGGTTTTGACCGTTGATAAGACGAAATACAACATTGAATTGTGAGATGAATCAACATTAAAAGGCCGAATTACTTTCCCTCCAATATTTACAATTCATTTCACACCAACGGGAGGAACGAGTGCGTTTGTTGGGGACTATTTTCAGCGGCGGTTTAATATTTATTTGGTGTGTTTTTCTAAGAGAGAACGGAAAGAGATGAATTATTATTGTTTGTTTTGGACTTTTTATTTTGGGAATTTGTTGACAAGAAGAAACATGGAGAGCGCCACCATCTGTGTTTGAGATGACGAGCGCTGTTTGTCATAGATATAAATAAGTTATTGATTTTATAAACGATCATCGTGTTCTCTCGCTCTCCTGCTGCATTCATGTCCCGTAGGAAACGGCAGCTTCGAGTGGACGAGTTATAAATATTAATTTATCTCCAACGTGATGACGACTTAAAGAGAATCAGAACTCATCGAGTCCAACACCAAACTGCTCCGACGTCTTCCTCTTCCTCCTCTTCTTCTTCTCTGATCTCCGCCCCCGCGTGCTGTCCCATGATTCATAGCTGCTGAATAATAGATGTTCTTCTCACATCTCTGGAGGTCTTCATCGGTCTCTCTCATCCTCCGCTCAGCTCTCTGTAGTTTGTTTCTTCATCTTCAGCACTCGTCTTCCTCATCGTCTCTCTGGTTTCTTTATAAAACAGAATTATCTGCTGCTTGTTTTTAGCCGCCTCAGCACATTTTCTTAGGCGTTCGACCTAAATCCAGTCTGTGTTCATTCTCACCTCACTGACTCGCGTGTGTTCACTGATCCAGAGTCAGATTCTTACGACGGCGCATTAGGGCCGATGTGGGAAATAAAATATACAGAGCCGGGGGGGTAATAAAGAAATATAAATATGAAAACACTGAGATTAATCGGATTCAAAACACCATTTTTGAGGATTCAGGATTTTTTTTTTTTTTTTTTTTTTTTTAAATAACTTGAATTTCTGCATTTTTTTTCCCGCAAATATCTGACAAAATATTTTAGTTTTTTTTTGGTGAATGTGACCATTATTTTAGAGATTATTTAAAGTCTAAAAATGAAATGTTTTTTAACAGGTCCATTTTTGAGACATTTACATAAACAATCTCGCACATTTCTTTGACTCCTTGTTTGGGTTTTATGTGTCAAATACGTTGAATTTGGTTTAATTTAGACCTAATTTGACTCGAGCTTGTTGCCAAGATTTTCAGTTGAACAGGAAGAGGCTTTTATTGTTGTTGGTCTTAACGCCCCTCGTTAGGCTTAATGAGCTGTGTCATGTTGTTGTTGTGTTCTCATGTTCTTCATCCTCTTTGTGTTGTGAGATAACAACGCAAAGCTTTCCCTCCCTGTTTCTCTTCTTCATCCTTTTGTTTTTTTGTTTTTTACGGACTTCTTCTGTGTTTTTGGACTCTTTCCAACATTCTGTTGAGTTTCTATTTTGGACATTTTGTTTTTTTAAAGGTGGAAACGTGTGAGAGGTTCAGGGACGTCCTCTGATGTGGAAGAAGTATTTGTACAAAGAAGCAACTGTTGTGATAATTATTACGACTTAGACACAAAAAAACAACACTTGTAAAACACTATTCTGGTTTTTGGCGTGTGTGTGTGTGTGTGTGTGTGTGTGTGTGTGTGTGTGTGTGTGTGTGTGTGTGTGTGTGTGTGTGTGTGTGTGTGTGTGTGTGTGTGTGTGTGTGTGTGTGTGTGTGTGTGAGAGAGAGAATGTTCTTCAAACAAAGCTGAACATGTTTAATTTTTTTTTAAATTATTGATTGTACAGTTTCAAGCGTATGAAGAGATGAGACTTTTTTCACAATAAAACTATTGAATGTTGAAGTCGAGATGTCATCATTTGTTCATGTTTCGATGCTTTGAAGGAGTTAGTTTATTTTGGGGAGGCTGCCCTCTGCTGGACGTGATCACAGACATCAGGACACAAGTGTCCTCGTGTTTACTAGTGAGAGCAGATCTCAGGTAAGCTTCTTATTTATTATCACATGTCTCCTCTATTATTCAAATCTCTATTTTGTATTTTTAACAACCCAAGTCTACATTTGGCACAATTCTAAAAGTTCATAGTTCAACTTTATTGTAATTTTCCAATAAATAAATCTGTATAAAAACAAGGTAGTATAAGAAATGGACACGGTATTTACAGTACATACATGTATGTGTGTACACACAATATGTACTGTATCACAAAGCTGTACTGCATACAAAGTATGTGGAAGTGGAGCTAAATAATGAACAGTATTACAACATTGTACATTTGAAAAAAAGCAACATAACTTTTACAAATACATCGGAATAAGATAAGAATAAATATATAAACAAACAAATAAAAACACACGTACATTTAACGTCACCAAATATAATTTGATGTGAAATGTCTGAATTTTTCCCAAAAACGTAAAAAAATTATTAAACTCAATACTTAAAAAACTGAAACTTAAACAACCTAAAAAGAATAAAGTGACTTATAAAACATTTTAAAATGAACTCTTATTTCTTAAATCATTTATTCTTAAATGCTCTTTAATATTAATCATGTTTTATTCGAAAGGAGAACAAAACGTTCTTAAATCAAAGCTTTTATTTTGACACGAATAACCTCTAACCGGAAGTGTTTCGTGCAGCTGCTGAACACACGCGCTACCTTGACAGTCAAACGCTGCACGTCGAGCTGCTTGTTATTACAACAAACCTACCGAGTGTCGGTCCGGTCCGGCCTCTGAAACACAGCCGAGGCTCCGTCATCATGTCCGGCGTCCAGCTGCTCAGAGTGCTCGTGAACGAGCGTCTGTCTGCGGCCGCAGAGGAGATCTTCGAGGCGGTTAAAAAGACCATCGCGGGCTACGAGGAGGAGGTCCTCCGGCAGCGCCGAGTCCTGCAGACAATATTAAAACCTGAAATAAAGATGAACAAACTCTCAGGTTTGTGAGTTTTAGCTTAATTTAGAGACATTTTTTCATGTTTAATGTTGGAAAGATCACAAACAGTTATTTGACGTTTGTTTACAATATTCAGATTTACCCTGTCCAACCACTGGATTTATTTATTTTTAGTTTAGTCTGGAGTTAATAAAATCTATAGTATTTGGTTGGATTGTGATCAAAATGTGGCAAAAATAAATTCTGGTTTATGCCAGAATTTATTTACAGAGATTAATTTATTTACAGAGTTTGCATTTTCTCGGTACCATCTAATGATCAATTACAAAACCGATATTTAAAGGCCAAAGACATTTTTGAAATCTAATAAAATACATATTTAGCTTTGGGTAAAGATCAACAGCTCCTCCTGGTTATATCTAGATTTTAAATGATATTCTGGTTGATATTCTCTTTAATTAAAGTTTCTTCCTCTGTTCTTTCTTCCAGTAGACCAACCACCGCTGGCTCTCTCTGTCTGGGACGAGGACTTCCTCTCCGACCGGCAGCAGCAGGACCACTGTGATCAGGACTGGAGCTCCGGTCTGGATCAGGACGACCAGGAACCTCCACAAACAGAGAAGAGCCGGGAGGAGGAGGAGGAGCTTCAGGAGGACGACGACGACGACACCATCAGGTTCATCTTCACTCCTCCGTACGTGAAGAACGAGCTGGACCAGCCTCCGTCCAGTTGTCGGAGCTCTAAAGGAGAAGGAGATCCTCTGCCGAGCACTCCAGCTGAGCAGGACCAGACGAAGGTGGAGGACGATGACGGAGCGTCCTCCAGCTGCTCTGCAGCCGACAGCGGCGAGGAGTGGGGGGGCAGCGTGGGATCGCAGAGCGACGACAGCGACCGCAGGGGGACAAAGAGGAAGGAGCCTCGTTTACCGACGGCTCAAAAACGTCACCCGACTAAAAAAGCGAAATCGCGAATCCGCTGTAAAGTCTGCGGGAAGGCCTTTCACGCCAACGTCTCTCTGGTGAACCACATGGAGGCTCACCCGAAGGACGTCTGCGGTGTTTGTGGGGAACGTTTGGAGACCGAGGAGGGCTTCAGGGTTCACCTGAAGACGCACGTGAAAGCCGAAGTCTGCGGCGTTTGCGGGAAATGTTTCGGGGCCTCGAGTTCTTTGGAGACGCACATGAGGGTCCACACGGGGGAGAAGCCGTTCAACTGCAGCGAATGTGGGAAATCCTTCAACTGTCACCACAACATGATGCGACACCTCTGGATACACACGGGGGAGAAGCCGTATCCTTGCACCGTCTGCGGCAAATGCTTCAACGACTACTCCACGATGAAACGCCACCGGCTGCTCCACGCGCACACGAGGAGCCGTGACCCGAACAACACGTCTGCAAACGAACACGTCAACGATGCGGAGGAGAAGATGACGATGTCATCGCCACCGAAAAAGCATCAGACTCGGACCATATGTGAAGTGTGCGGGAAAATGTTTCACTCCATGGTGTCTCTGGTGAACCACGCCAAGAGTCACGCCACGGACCTCTGCGGCGTGTGCGGGACGCATTTTGACTCTGATGAAAAGTTAAAACTTCACCTGAAAACTCACAAGAACGGGAAGGTCTGCGAAGTGTGCGGAAAGTGTTTCGACAGTCAAGGAAACCTGGAGATGCACATGAGGATCCACACGGGGGAGAAGCCGTTCCTCTGCAGCGAGTGCGGTAAATGCTTCAACTGCCGACACAACATGATGCGACACATCAGGACCCACACGGGAGAGAAACCCTACCTGTGCAACACCTGCGGCCGCTGCTTCAGCGACCGCTCCACGCTGAAGCAGCACAGCAGCACGCACACCGGAGAGAAACCGCACTGCTGCGAGATCTGCGGTAAAGGCTTCCACCGAAAGACATACGTGAGGCTTCACATGAAGAGCCACGCGACTGAGAAATGACTGTTCTGTAAATATGGTGGTGTGTAAATAAAAGCTTTAAAATGTGCCGATATCAGCTTTTTTTACTTTCTGACCGCAAATTCTTCACGTCCATTGGCTGTGATCTAATAGACCCTTTCACAGCCAACGACATCAAAAATATGCGGAGACATGGTGGCAACAGACGAGTTAGCAAACTTTAAACATTGAATTAAGACTGTTACCGGCATCAGCATGTCTCGTTGATTGCTCGGATGAGTATGTGTTTAAAATTGATAAAAAGGGGCAAAACAACCACAAATTGACACAAAACAACTACAAAGAGATGAAAAACAGCTGCAAAGAGACTCACAATGACTATAGAAAGGGCCAAACGATCTCGAAGAGATACAAAACAACTACATAGAGACACAAAGCAGCTATATAGAGACACAAAACAACTACATAGAGATGCAAAGCAGCTATATAGAGACACAAAACAACTACATAGAGATGCAAAGCAGCTATATAGAGACACAAAACAACTACATAGAGACACAAAGCAGCTATATAGAGACACAAAACAACTACATAGAGACACAAAGCAGCTATATAGAGACACAAAACAACTACATAGAGATGCAAAGCAACTACAGAGACACAAAACAACTATTATAGCGGCAATCTTCCCTCAGTCATCATTACCACTACTGTTACAGTCTGGGTTTGGCAATAAGCTTGACGCGTAATGAATCTTCGTAGGCAGTAGCTTCATTTAAAAAGGTTTACTCAACAAAATAAAGTTACAAGATACATTCTTTGCTCAACTTGTCACAGCGTTAGCACAACGTTCAAAAAACTGTTGCTCCGCAGACTGAATAACCTCAACTGAGGGCTGTTGGCTGTGACATAGTCAGTAATGCAACTAAAGGAGCATTTCCACATGTTTGTTACACAAATCAATTAAGACATCTTATCAAGTCTCATATGGCTCTTACAACTATGAAGAGACACAAAACAACTACGAAGATACACAAAACAACTACACGGAGACAACAACTACAAGGAGACAAAACAACTACAAGGAGACACAAAGCAACTACAAGGAGACACAAAACAACTACATAGAGATGCAAAGCAACTACAAAGAGACACAAAACAACTACAAAGATACACAAAGCAACTACAAAGATACACAAAGCAACTACAAGGAGACAAAGCAACTACAAATAGACACAAAATAACTACAAAGAGACACAAAACAACTATATAGAGATGCAAAGCAACTACATAGAGACCCAAGGCAACTACAAAAAGACACAAAACAACTATTTACTACTAAACACCCATAAGTCTGTGTGTCTTGTTCCTCTGTAGGACAGTTGCTGTCTGTGCCCAGAGGCCCGTCGTCTCATAATCCACTCATGGCAATAACAAGGATACTTTCACTCAAGTACACGCAGAACTGGCCAATAATGCACCAATATCTTTAAACATTTTGCTTCCCCAGGAGGCTGAGTAGTGTGATACCCCGGTAATTGGATCACACTCTCCGGTCCCCCTTTTTGAAAATGGGAACAACCACCCAGGTCTGCCAGTCCATGGGCACTGATCCCGACCCCCATGCGACATTTAACAGTAATAAGTAAAAAAGGAAAATATTCATGAACTTTTCCCTGAAAGACAAGGACGAAATACACCAAATAACAAAGTTAACGTTTTCACTAAAAGAAAGCAGCAATGCAAAAAATAGATAAGTCTCATCCCTGATGACTCATGATGCTTCACATTTGACCCTTTTAGAAAGAACTTTATTTATCAGTTAATGCAGCGAAGGAAAAACTGTGTGATGAACCGTTCAGTTTTTATATTTACGTTTCCACTGTCGTCATATTAACGTGTTCAGGCATCCTCGAAGAAAAGTTGTGTGTGTGTGTGTGTGTGTGTGTGTGTGTGTGTGTGTGTGTGTGACTCCATCATCCCTTAATAACGGTCTTTGTGACTGTTGGAAGAGATTCTATGAACCATTTTTAGCTCTCGCCTACACCAATATTGATCCAATCAAATCACAGAACATCATCAGCTTGTCACGGGGCATGATGGAGGACTCAAGCGCAGACAGTCAGATGCAGTGAGAAAGAGAGACTGGAGATCAGGGGGACTGCACTGTAGAGGCTGGAGATCAGGGGGACTGCACTGTAGAGGCTGGAGATCAGGGGGACTGCACTGTAGAGGCTGGCAGATCAGGGGGACTGCACTGTAGGCTGGAGATCAGGGGGACTGCACTGTAGAGGCTGGCAGATCTTTCCTTTCAGCAAAGACTTATGGAAAGTGTTCATAAAGGAATTAAAATGTCTGAGAGAGACTCAAACACTCGACGATCTGACAGTAGGTCAGAACTAAACCTGTGTGGATTTCAGGGTTTCACCTGCACAGGAAGCAGATGTGACCGGCTTCTCAGGAAGGAATCAAACCTGTTTCCTCTTGATGTCGATGTCTTTGATTAGTTGTCCTCACTGTTTTGAAGACCTGGAAACTCCCACGCTCACATCTGCAGACAACTAAGGCCCTAAAATCCCCGATCCCTGTGCTGCTGGCTGGCAGGATAGAAACCCAACACCACCGCTGTGTTGACCACGCCTATGTAAACACATACGAAAGTCATAAAACAGTTCAGCAAGTGAAACGAAAGTGAAAGATGAACGCACGTTTCCTCCCAAGGTGCTTATATAAAGCAGAGTGAACTCACAGCCTGCACTCCTGGAGGAACGCAGAGAGAGAGGTACGTGAACACACACTTTTTGTTTTTATGCATCTTTATGGTAAATATTATTAATATGAGGAGATGAAGTGACTTAGTCAAAATAAATGCTCTTTATGAACTGCGTTTGATCCCAGTTTAGTTTGTTAGCTTTAAACTATTATAATAATTATGTTAATAATAATCAACAGAACTCTCTGTATGAATATGCGCAGCAGAATAAAGCGTAGTCTTTATACTGGCATTGGATACTATAGAGTAAAATAGTTAAAGGTGTTTTGTTGAGTTTTTCTTTCTCTGGGTGGAGGTCTGAGGACAGAGGGTGTGGTTCGCTGTTCAGACTGTAAAGTCCCTTCAAACTAATTTATGACAATGAAGACTTTTGGTCCCAGTAGAATCATTTACAGTCACAGTAGCAGGTATCGTCTCTGAGGCTGCACCGAGACACAGCTGTGCTTTGAGCTGAACATGCTCACTATGACGTTAATGTACTGATGTTTAGCAGGTATACGCTCTATGTTTACCATGAGGGAGCCACCCTACACCACGGTAGTTTAGCATGTTAGCAGCTGAAGCTGTCATTAGTTCTGCAGGTGTCTGCTCATAAAATGAAAAGTCACCAAAGTTATTAATTCATCCTGAGGGGATCATGAATGTGTTCATCAAAGAACAAGAAGAGGAGAAGCACTTTGTGTTTGATTCAAACAAGATGCTGAACATAGTAGACATTATGCATGTTAATCAATAGTATTTTCACTGTGAGCATGTTAGCATTTAGCTCAAAGCTAAAATAATGCAGCTTCTTTATTCATTTCGATGGCGCCAGTCCACCGACACAATGGAGCTGACAAACCGGAGGCTCTGGTTAAAAAATGCAAAGTGGTTGAATCTGCTCCATCGTTTTCTTATAAGTTCTCGTTTCACTTTGACAGGATAACAGTTGTCCTCTATTTCTTCTTGTGTTTGTGCTAAGCTAGGCTAAACACATCCAGAACTTGAAATGTGTAGTTGACTTTCTTCTAAATTCTCTGCTTTCATTCCTGTGTTACTGATGTTTCTTCTCATAGAATCCTTCTGAAGTCTAACCATCCTCTTTCAGAGATCCTGACACCAACATGCAGTACGAGTGGGCTGAAGATGACTTTGAGCTGCCCTATGGGGTATTTCCACTGGGCCTCACTGAGCCACTTAGTGGGAGAAAGTACGTCATGTACCACGGCACCACCAAGGCGACGGCTCGATTAATCCTGAAAAACGGTTTTCAACAGTCTAAAGACGGGATGCTCGGCCGCGGCGTCTACCTCAGCAGAGACCTGCAGAAAGCTAGCCGCTATCCCATTGGTCACCCGGAGTCTGACAAGATCGTCATTAAGGTTCAGGTCAACGTGGGCGAAGTGATCGCCATCAATTGTCAAGGCCACCCACGTCAGAAGACCTGGCATGACCCCAGATACGGCCCGGTGTTTGACACCGCCTGGGTGCCACCCAACAATAAAATGGTGCCGAGCGGTTTGGAGGAGGATTGTGTCTGGGATCCAGATCGAATCAAGATCCTTAAAACCATCAATCCACGTCCAGTCCAACCTTATGTTGGATGTGGTGCACGGGGCTACCATTGAGCTCTACGACATGTTACCAATTTATTTTGTATATTCAAATGTATTTTTATATATTGGGATAAAAAGTAAATGACATTTGCATCTTGTCATGGTGTCATTGAAACCTGGAAAATAAATGGTTCTTGTTAAATATGAGTTTCTCTCTGGTTATGTTGAAGGCGGAGTGTGATGAGTATGTTTTTATTTTGAGACATCCAAAGTCAGAAGTCCCCACGAAGGATCACCTGATCACACCTGAGACAGAGAGTGAACAAAACAAGCAGCACCTGCTCAGGTGCTATCACCTCCACGCTCATCAGGAGGTTAAACAGGCCGCCTCCCTCCTTCTTTTGACTCCCTGCTGAGTTTTAAAGGCATCCTGTAAGTGAGATGAATCATTTAAAGAATGAATTCAACATTTTGTAGTCTAAGAAATAGTCCAGCACATAATCCCCTGTAAAACCACAACATGCCGTTGGATCTGTGTGAAACACATTCCAGCAACATTTTAGAACTGATACATTTGATGATTATAACCTTAATTAAGTGTTTGGTCTATCTTACATAAAAAAACGAGAAAGTGTGAGTGTGCTACAGTAAAGGTAGCAGAAGGTGTTGTCATCCATCATCTCTGTTTTATTAGTTAATTCCTTCAAAGATATTAAATTTACCCTCAAATGTTTGGCATCATTGCAGCGCTAAAACACATGCATGTCCTTAAAAGGCTAATACATATACGTACATAAGTGTATGTCCACTAACGTAACAGTTACTGGGTTAGCCTTTGTGCTAACGTTACTGGGCTAGCCTTTGTGCTAACGTTACTGGGCTAGCCTTTGTGCTAACGTTACTGGGTTAGCCCTTGTGCTTACATTACTGGGTTAGCCTTTGTGCTAACGTTACTGGGTTAGCCTTTGTGCTAATGTTACTGGGTTAGCCTTTGTGCTAATGTTAAGGGGTTAGCCTTTGTGCTAATGTTACTGGGTTAGCCCTTGTGCTTACATTACTGGGTTAGCCTTTGTGCTAACGTTACTGGGCTAGCCTTTGTGCTAACGTTACTGGGTTAGCCTGTGTTCTAACATTACAGGGTTAGCCTTTGCTCTAGGTTAGCTCGCTGAGCAGCAGCTCTAAATTGTTCTTTGACACAGTGAGTGTGTATTCATGAACAAGTTCTTCTGGTCTTCACTGTTGGTCCGTTTGTAGGTAGTTTTTTTTAGTCCATTTGTTTCATTACAAGCTGTTGTTTGTGTCTGTTGTTTAGGCCGCTAACAGGTTTTTATAAATGGTGGTTGCTGGTGCTGCATTGGCTCATTTGTTCAACCAATCACTGTAGTACAGTGACTGTACACATACGTCAATCATGGTCCTGGGAAAGTACCTACTCTGAAATAAGAGCTTAAAAAGTCCCTCTAAACGCCGTTCTAAGAATTACGATAATTCCTATTTCTTGAGGTGTGGACGCAAAAATAATGGGGGTTCTTAGAGCTATGAAAAAGTTCCTCCAGTCTGAAAATGCCTACTGTTAGCTTTGTCAGCACTGTTGCTGTTGTTTGCGTTGTTAGCACTGTTAGCACGTTGGCTGCCGGCTCAGGCGTCGCCATGTTGAGAGCCGTGTGGAGGCAACAGATATGCTCTGACTAATGTGGTGGAAAAAACTATTCAATAGTACCGAGTGAGTCCTATAATACTGAATACTGAAACAAGAAACATTGAGGAAAGAAGTTTGTCCTTAAAGTATTTATTCTCTGCGCAGAGAAGACTCAATCATCCCACAGAGTGCCTGTGTTCTCTGTGGGATGGAGAGAGTGACCTGTGTGCCGTTTGAGCACATCTTTTAAAGGGTCAGAGCATCAAGAGAGAGGGGGGAAGGTGTGTTTCTCCGAGACATCTGGTTTGTTTCTAATCTACACATTTTACAATAGTACCTGAAATAAAACATTTACTACAGATCCCGTGGTTTACTACCTCTAAGCTAAACACTCAGTGATTACTATCTGCTTCAAAGGTCTATGACTGATCTATTCTAAACAACAACACTCACGACAGTTTAGATTTACGACTACTCGAATCTAAACATGCTCGCAGCACTCCCTTCCAGATTCTTCCTTTGAAGGGAGCGGTGGTCAACATACAGTACAGTAGTAAGTAAAACATAGAATAGAGCATATAATCAAGTCACAGTAGAACATTATACAGCAGAATGACGTTTTCTATCACACCAATCATACAAAGCACCGTTGAAACCCTAAGAACTCACCATCATAAATCACACCTTTTCCTGAAGGAGCTTTAAAATCTGTTCAGCACCCTCTAACCTTTGACCCTCTTCTCCTAAACATCTACATCACGTAGATAGAATGTGATCCACGTGACCTCTTCACTACGGAGGCCAGAGGGTGGACGAACTATAGGAAACATTAGGTCTGAGTGTCCTGGAGGACAAAGATCCAGATCCAAGACGTCTGTAAGAAGATGGAGAGAGGAAGAAAGAAAGAGGGGAAAGAATCAAATCTATCTTTAGATGTTCATTCAATTAGATTTCTGTTTCTGTTTCAATATGCATGAAATCAAACTAATCTGGTGGAAAGTGTATTAGAAGGCGAGCAGTGATGGAGCAGAGCAAGATTCATAGTGTGTGTGTGTGTGTGTGTGTGTGAGTGTGTGTGTGCTTGCGTGTGTGCGTGTGTGAGCGTGCGTGAGTGTGTGTGTGTGCATGTGTGTGTGTGTGTGCATGTGTGTGTGCGTGCGTGTGTGTGTGTGTGTGTGAGTGTGTGTGCGTGAGTGTGCGTGTGTGAGTGTGTGTGTGTGTGTGTGTGTGTGTGTGTGTG